TTATATATTGAAATATTTATAAATTAAATAAATATATGAAATATTAAATGATTATAAGGTCTTACGAATATGATTATAACCAAAATCAAGTATGTAGATATGTTCCAATGAATGTACAAAATGAATACAATTAAAACTATGTATAAATCCATAGTAACTAAGAATAGTCAATTCTGGAAAGTTTAAATTAGCAGAATCGAAACAAGTTTCATCACATACGAAAGTTTATTCATTATACAGTTTCTTCGGTAAATCGATAATGAAAAGCTTATTCATTATACAATTCTTCGATAAATCTCGCAGAAAATAATATGTATATATGTATAGTATGTTTCTAATGCATTTCATTCAAAACGAAAAATAATTTGTTTTTTAAGATAACATCTTTATTTTAATAATTAAATCTATCACATTACATTAATTTAAAATAATTTAAAGAAAAAAATTTTCTTTATATAGAATATCTTTGTTTGCTAATGAAATAACTTATATTATTTTAATTTATATAACTTTAACTTTTTTAAACTTATATAATTTTAATAACTTATATTATTATTTGACATTTATAAAATATTAAAAATTTTTAAAATTTAACCTCAACAAATTTTTTGTTTCGAATACGGATAATATGCTTTTTTCATTATCGTTTCGTTTATTATAGTAATCTATAATAAGTATCATTAATGGAAATGAATTTTATTACTATTTTATAACTTATATATATAATAATTATATATATAATAATATAATAATAGTATACTTTAAATATGTATGAATATTTCTAATCTATTAAATGAAATCGACTTTTTTGATATATAAAAATATTTATATAATAATTTTGAAAAATTGATTGTAGAGATCAAAACATATATAAAAATATTAAGTTTACAACAATTTAAGCTTATATTAGATTTTTCAATAAAAATATAATATAAATTACATAAGAATTCCGTAAGATATTTAAAAATGTCATTAAATAATATATATATATATCTGAGAAAATTGTACAACACTTTAAGTATTAGCATGCATATATATATATATATACATATAATCTTAATTAAGATATTCAGATAATAAAAGTTATCCTGAGAATACAAAATGTAATACAAGTACTTACGTGATGTAAACGGTTGCAATCATATGCACACTATATGAATCGAAGTATTATTATGAGACATGTGACATATGGTATATTCGCACGGTTTATTGGATGGTTTATCGGTTTACATATCACTTGTGTTAGCAATTACAAAAAAGAAATTATTAATAATACTAATAACTAATAATTCGATTCAGTTTCAGTTTTTCAATTTTTATAATATAGCAATAAAAAATTATTAATATCATGTATTTTCTTTTTTATTTTATATTTGATTTTAAATTTTGAAAATAACAAACGATTATTATGATTACATTAATAAGATCCTCAATTGATTAAGATATACGTAAGTACTATATGTATATCGTTTTAAACTTAAAAATATTTTCAATGAAAGAAAGAAATTTAAATTTTTTAATGAAAAAAATAAATATTTTTAAGTTTTTATTTATTTCAAATTAATAACCTATATATTAATCCTTTTTTACTTTTGCTTTTTGTTTCTTATTCTAAATTTATATTGTTAGGTCACTTACCTTGAAGATTTTCTTAAAAATATTTATAAAATTTAAATAAATAAAACTGTATTCAAATATTTTTGATTTAAAAAGAAAATATATTAAATATATAAATTTTAAAATTAAAATTTTATTTTTTAAATGAATATTCTATTAAACATATAAATATTTGAAATATATTTATATAAATATTTTAGAATATATTTTATTTTTATCGAAATCTATAAAGAAAATCTCTAAGATTTAGATATTAAAAGATGCTTTAAATGATATTTTATAAAAAAAACAATTTAAAAAATTCGTTTATAATTGTGATTTTTGAACTATTATTGTTATCATAATATTTAAACTTATTTCATTAAAATTAAAATGTTTCAATTTCGTGTAACACTATTATATATAACAATTTATATTATATAACAATATTATAGTTAATTTTATAATTATAATCGAAATGATATACCGGTAATATAGTATTCTGTAATAAAATGGTGAAGAGCAAGTCCCAATAATCGTAAATAAAATATTAATTTTTCTTATGTTAAATATTATTATATTTAATTCTAATATAATTCAATTTAATTTTTTTAAGCTTAACGTGACGTTTCTTTGTGAATACTTTGATATGAATATTCAATGGTTTTAGAATTGTAGTATTTTATAATGTTTACATTGTTAGGAGAAGTAAACTTATGGACTTTCGATGATAATATCAATATAAAGAGTACAGATTTTGGTGCATTTCGGTAAAATAGATTAATTTATTTGTATTATAAATTATGTTAATAATTAAATATATTAATAAAATTAAATAGAAAATATAATACTATAAAATATTTTTATTATAAGATAATAATTTTATCTATATTTATATAATTATATAATAATTTTTATTATTATCATTTATAATTATCTTTATTATTATTATAATAAAAGCAAATCTTATATTATTATTTTAGATATCATGATAAACGTATTGATCACATACATGAAGAAGGAAAAAAATCTTACTGTCAAAAACGTGGTATGATATATGTCCCAACAAATAAAAAAGGAAATAAATTGAAAGATTCTATTAAATATCTAGAGGTAAAATTGCAATTAAATACTAAAAAATATATATTGTTTTATAATCTTACATTGAATTGATTTTTGTAGGAACAATTAAAGGATAATTCAATTGTATATTGTCAATGGTATAATGATTGTATTTTACAATTAATGTTAAATAATGCATTATTAATACAAATACAAGCTAATATAGACACTGGTGACATTTGTAAAATAACTTTTGATAAATATCTTATAGGAAAATTATTGGATCATATATCAGATGGTAATCATTTATTTTTATATATAATTAATATATTTGTATATATTTATATTTATATGTAATTAAAACTATTTATTAAGAAACTTCAATTACTATCTATATTTACAGTGATAATCACTAAAAATTATATTCTTTGCACTTATAATGATAACCAAATAACTATTATACATTTTACAAGATCAAAAAGACATGTTTTTGATAAAATTAATAAACTTGAACCAAAATTGTCTACAATTGATCTATTTGGTCCTAATGGTCGCAGATTGGATAAAAAAGTTCAGACCAATAAATGTGGAGATTTGGTAATTATATTTGTATTAAAAACTGTTGAATTAAAGTAAATTATTTTTCATATATCATAATTAGTAATTTCTATTATTTATTATTTTTTAATTTTAATATGTAATATATAATATTTATATATTATATTAATATGATAAACTGTTACAAATTTAGATATTAATTTGGTGGAAATCTACTATGAATGAAGTTTATCCTTGGAGTCCTGCTGTAAAAGAACATGATCGTGCTAACATACATCTTTATCGTTTAATAGGGTATAAAATTATTTAATTTAATGTTTGATATTTAATATTTAATAAACATTTGAATTCTTATTCATAGTAATAAAAATGTTTATAAATAATGTATTTTTATTTTTAGAGTAAAATTAGAATTAATTTGTTATATACGTAGTGAATTTGATCCTTTATGTATAATGTTTGATGTATGCAATGATAATATTATTCATTCTGTAGAACAAAAAGTATCGCGAAAGGTAATAGTATTTATTAATAATAATATAATATTTTTCCAATTAAGCATTTTACTCATAAATGTAATTTAGGGAGAAGTAACTATAGAATGGCGTACATATGAGGTTTCTCAACAAGATAAACTTCAAAGAATAGCAGTAGTATCTATCCCATTACCTACACATACAAGTTGTGTAAAATTTTCACCAACTCAAGAATTGTTGTTATTATGCTGTATAGATGGTTCTATTATAATTTATGATCAAACTAGAGCTACTACTATTAGTGTAAAAGCAGTTTTTGTAAGTTATGAACATATATATATAAAATTTAATAACAAAATTAAAAAAATCATTATATCTCTAAATTATCCAATTTTTAAGATACCTACATTGGCATCATGGCATAGTGATGGAATAATATTTGTTGTTGGAAATGATAAAGGACAACTTCAACATTTTGACATTGCTTTAAATTGTATTAAAAGTCAAACATTAAGTGAAGAAGCAGCACAAGCTAATATTCTTGATTTATCTTCGTATTTTAGGTATTATTTTAATTCTTTTTTTATTAAATTAATAAAAATTATTAAAAAATTTATATTTATTTATATTGTAGAATTCAGCCAGCATTATTGCGTATGGAATGGAATAAAAAAAATGATTTAAATTGTTATATTAATTTATATAATCATGGGAATTCTTTATTGTTAATAATTTTTCAACGGTATGAGTTATAAACATTTCTTATAAAACAAATAACAAATAAAAAAATATTAATATAATATATTAATAGAGGATCTCTTGGTGTTATAAAAATGTTGGAAGGGAATTCTTTCACCGGTGATGTATTAGTCAAAAGATATTTATCTTTATCTCAAGTTGAACAAGCAACTTCTTTATTACTAGCTATGAATTGGGATACTCATTCTCGTGCATGTATGCATGCATTAAATCAGATTGTAAATTATTTATTTAAACTACCACTGACAACAGAACGTGAAAGTAAGATATATTTTTACAATTTAGTTATCTTATTTTATATAATGCAAATAATTTATTTTTCTATAGATCTCATACAGAATGCTTTGGGTAGTTTCCATGTACCTATTAAACCAATAAGTCAAGCTATTGAAGAAGAATATGGAGATGAAATAAGAGATTTGACAAGACGTTTTTTCCATCATTTATTAAGGTATTGCATATCTTTATTTTTTAAAAACATAATATATTCATATATAAAACTAATTTAATAATTATTGTAGGTATCATATGTTTGAAAAAGCTTTTAGGCTTGCTATAGATTTAAATGATCATGATCTTTTTATGGATATACATTTTTATGCATTAGTTGTAAATGATACAGCAATGGCAACTGCAGCAAAAGAAAATGCCGAACGTATATTAAGTCGATCAAACAGCTGCAATAGTTCACGTAAGAGTTATATAATTAAATATTTTACAGAAAATTTTATTTTATAAACTATTATATACAAAAAAACTCTGAAAATTTCAGATTCTACGTGTTCTAGAGCATCCTGTTCAATTTGTTCTTATTCAATAAGTGATAAAGGAGAAGAATCTTGCAGTGATGAAAGTGAAAATTTTTCAAAAGAAAATCAGACTGATACGAAACAATCGAAAAATCATAATTATAAGAAAGAATCCAATAATCAAATTCCACCTTTACCAGTTCTCCATCCACATCCTCTTCATAAAAATCTGTTATCCACATCATTTACAGATGTATCATCTGATGCAAAAACTGACTGTAATTTAGAAACATCTTTCAACATGCCTAATAGTACTCTTGTCACAACTTCTTTCAATCATTCATCACATCTTTCCCTCTCAAATACATTTCTTACATCAACATCTTTTAACAAACCACTGTATAAAATTCATACAAATTCAATACCAGTATCTACAATGTCTTCTAATTCACAATCTTTCAATAATATTTCTGATGATTTAATGACAACTTCATTTGGAAGTTTATCTTTAAATGAACGAAAAACCGGAATATCTAATCGATTTAATGAAAACTCTGTAGATACTGCATTAAACAAAGTTTTATGTGGTGAAATGCAATTTTCTCTTGATGATGTATCTAATAATGCAACAACAGCAAATTTAATACAAGAAAACAGTTTTATGTCAACTCCTTTTAATAATCCAACATATGAATCAGTTACATCAGATGTTTCTTCTGATTTATTAAGATCTTCATTAGATAATATAGATAATAATATTATGTCTACATCTTTCAGTACAGTTGGTATGGATACTTCAAATTCATATGATAATTCTTTTAATGATTTAGTTACTAAATCTGAATCAAATATTGCTTCATCTCCTCTAAAAAGCATAAGATCATCTGTTATAATGAATGATATTATGTCTAAAGCACTTCCTGATTCTATTGTAATAAATAAATCAACATCTAATTTTCATAACAATCATAGTAATCTTGCCTCTACTTCATTTAATTTTCTTGAAAATCAAGTACAAGATTCTGGCAATAGTAATTTAAAAAATTTTAATAGTGAAAATAATTCTAATATGAAATTACAACAATCTAGTCTAGCAAAAAAAGTGGATTTTAATATTCCACCACCACCTTCTTTAACAAATTCATTTACAAATTATTTTCAAGGTCTTCCAAAAAAAAATCTTCGTTTATCTAGGAGTACATCTGGATTAGCAGATATTGATGAATCTGTTAGAAAATTTTCATTTACTAAAACAAGAAATATCAATTCATATTTATTACAAAAACAAAATTCAACATCTAATATTTTACATGATCAATTTAAATATAATAATATTAAATCTTCTAGATATAGATTTAATTATGATTTTGATTGCATTTCACTTCATGGAAGTTGTGATAATATTGATATGCATTCTTCTACTAATAATTTGAGATTAAATAATTCACAATTTTCTACTCCTTATGGTATACAAAACAAATTTGAAAGACATTCAAAATTAGTATTATCACAAAATGGTACAAATACTAGTGTTAATAAAGAATCTAAGATATCTTCTAACATTCCACCTCTACCTGTTATATCATCTCCTATATCTAATTCTATATCCTGTACTCCCTTTTCTACCTTCACAGATACAACATTAGCAACAAATGAAAAACCAAAGGTTAAATTTTCAGATACAGTGACTCATATATTGGTACCTGGTACGGTAAGTATTATTTATTACATAATAATTATTTACATAATTACATGTATGTAAATAATATATTAAAAATCAATAATGTATAATATTTATTTTATTATATATGTGCTTATTCTTTATCAAATTTGATAGGGGCAATCACATAAACAAAAACGTTCTACAATTAGTCAAGTGCATTTAACTGATCCCAAACGTGAGTTAGCAGAAAGCCTTCCATTGTGCCTTGGAAATGAAGATTATCTTAAAGATTTTCAACCATTATCAAGTGAGTAATATTGTTTAATATTATATATATCATAATATTTTTCAAATATATATTATTTTTAGAAGAAGAAGATATTAACGATAAAATAAAGGAATCTTCAAGACCAGAAGAAAGTTCAAAAATAAAAGTTGTACACTTTGGTTTATTATGAAAAAAAAGATTAAAATTCAAATATGAAAAATATATATATAAGACTGTATTTACATATATTTAAAATTTATAAAAGAACATATATACTTTTGTATTATATATAATTTTTATGCAATAAAAGCTTTTTGAATTCTATTATTAAAATATTTATATCTCATTATATGAATTATGAAATTCATTTGTGTTATTAATTTGCAAAATATTTTGTTTAAATTATAATATTAAACAAGCTATATTTCTTACATAATCAATATTAAATTTATTATTAATCTTTTTTTGTTTTATGTTCTGTCATTTCTTCTAATTCTTTTTTGAGATCAAGCAATTCTTTGTTTGGAATTATACATTTCTTTTTTAGAATTGGATCATATTCATGTATAGATAATGAAACACCTTCAGGTAATGTTGCTTCTAATATCCTAATAAAAATAGGACATAGTGTAGATGATATATTTGATATTTGTATATTTCTCTCATAAATTTTTAAATGATATTCAGCATCAATTATTGCACTATTTTTCTTAAATTTTCTTATTTTAAATTCTTTATGAGGAAAGGCAAAACTATAAAAATAAATATGTTACTAAAATAATATTAAATAATTTATTATAAAAAAATTAGAACTAATATTACCTTTCATCAATAGTAATATCAAGTACTTTTGTTATTTTATGAATAAAACTTTGATAACTTTCAAGTAGAGAATATTTATATCCTTTAATTTGTATATTTAAAACAGGATAAATTGGTATTTCAAATTCTTTTTTCTATAATAATAAAAATAAATTGATATTGTAAGTATGATATATCAACATAATATCAGCATAATAAATTATATTAAATATAATTATATTATATAATTTATATAAAGTATAACAACATAATAATAATATAAACATTTACCTTTAGATATGGTGGTTCATATATACCATAAAATCTTATTCCTTTGTTAAATAGCGGACATCGATAATATGTTGTAAACTACACATATAATTTCATTTTATTCTCATAAATTGATAATGATTGATAAAATATATGATAATATATTTTTTATTTAATAATATATATATATAACCTTACTTTAATCAAACAATATATACAATTACCTGTTTAAGAATGCTTAATATCATTTTGTACTGAATGAAATTAATATTGAAAAATATCGTTTAATCTTCAATATAGATAATTTTAATTTTTATTATTTATTACAATTAAATTGTATCATAGCTAATAAATAAATAGTATATGAATGTAATAATCACATATACATATAATACATATACTATTAAGTAGTATATCTATATATTTAAGAAAAATTTTTACATAAATCAAAATTAAAATATAAATATTGTTTACAAATATGAATTAAATATAATAATAATATTAATACATAATCGTTGCATTTATTCAAAAGATTCAATTTTTATTTTAAATGTTATTTTTTATTTTAAAAATTAGATTTATATGATAAAAATATTTAAGAGTAAAATTTCAATGTTTTAAAAATTTCTATTTTTAAAATAATTTTATTTTAAATAAATTTATTAATAACATTATTGTAAATATATTTTATTCATGTATTCTTATCAATTATATATTGTTATATTTTATTATTCAATTAATTGACGAAAATTTATTACAATTATCATTGAAAGTCTGTCTTTTTTTACAATTCCATTAATATAAATAATTCATTTAAGAATTAAAAATATTAAACTTTTTTTATTGAACTTTCATACCATTGATGCAATGAACAACCAATAATTGCACTAGTACAATCAAGATATTTTCGTAAGATTAAAACAAGATTTTAGACGTGTAATATGTGTTTATGAAACATGCAATTCATAATAATGATTTAAATATTTTTATCGAATATACAAATGTATTATTTAAATAAAAAATGGATATCGAAACTGAAAATGTTATAAATCTTGTATTTCCAAACGGTATACCAGGTAATATATTTTTATTTTTTCGTAAAAAACATTCAATATGTTATAATGTATTTATATTGTTTGTTTGAAATTAATTTTTAATTAAAAATATGCATATATTTGTCTATTCTTATAGAATCATGGAAAGAAAATCCGGATTTTTATCAATATTTATCAAAACTTGGTGGTTATGATGTTGATCAACTTAGTAAGATAATTTTTTTCTTATACTCCTTAATTAATTTTTTTATTAAAATCAGAATTTAAGTATTTATATTTTTTTAGATAAAGAACCTAATCATTTAGATGATGAGAAAACATCAGTATTACAAACTACACAAGACTTAGTGTTTGCAAATTATAAAACTTTTGTTCAAACAGCAGAAAGTTCTAGAGAAATATTTAAACAAGTAATATTATAGATTTTAATATTTTTTATATTAATATATTTAAATATTAATATATTTGTAATAAACACATATATATAATAAAATACACAATAATAAAAATGTTATTTAATTTTAAGTTCAATGAAACTGAAAATCGACTTGATGGACTTGTACAAAAAATACCTAAATTTGTGGAAAAGTGCCAATCATTTTGTGATACATCAAAAGACATAAATACACATAGAAGAATAAATAGCTTAACATTAACAAGAAATGCAGAATTACTTGAAGTACTTGAAATGCCTCAATTAATGGAATCTTGTTTAAGGAGTAATCAATATAATGAAGCATTAGAATTATCTCAATATGCACGTCAATTAGGAACTAAACATGGAGATATTCCAATTATATCGGTATGATTTAACATGCTTATAAAATATAAAAAACATGTTTCATTTTGTTTATTAACAATTTAGTCCATAGTGGCAGAAATTGAAAGTAGTTGGTCTGGTATGGTAGGACAAGTTGTTGGTTCATTAAGGGGAGACTTACCACTTGCAAGATGTCTACAACTTGTTGGATTATTACGATCAATGGATGCTTTTACAGAACCAGAATTACGGATTAAATTTTTACAAGCTCGTGATAGTTGGCTTCAAAGTCTTTTGACTGCTATACCCAAAGATGATTGTAAGTTAATTTTGTATGAAACATTATTAAATAGATAATTTAATAATATTTAATATTTTTATTTAGCTAATCTTCATATCACAAAAACGATAGAATTATCAAGAATATATTTATTTAATATAATAACACAATATAAAGCTATGTTTAATGATGATGAACCAGGAAGAGATCTAACAGTGAATGAATGTGCTATATTTTATCATTGGATTGAAGAAAAGGTATAATGAACATTTATTTATTGATTATATATATGAATATAAAATTATATTTAATATAATTTTATTTTTTTTTTCTTTTTTAGATATCACAATTTTTAATGACTTTAGAACAAGATTTACCTGGTGTGACATCAATAGATTCTATTTTGGGTCAGTGTACATATTTTGGTTTATCATTTGGTAGAGTAGGTGTTGATTTTACTGGTCGAATGTGCGATATATTTGTACGTGTTATCGGAGAAAAATTTGAAACTAGTGTCCGCAAAACTACAAAAAAATTTGAAAAAGATATGGAGTCATTTACACTAATTAATAAAATACAAAAGACAAATGTTAAAATGACTACTACAATTAAATCAGTAAGTAAATATTTGTCTTTATATATATATATATATATTAATAATATTTGCATATTAATAATATGAATAAAAATTATGGATTAATTTTATAGGAAAATCCACCAGAACAATTGGTAGAATTTTATCCTTTAGCTGAATATTGTAATGGTCTTATATCAGCTTTCAATGAAATACGACTTTGTCCACCAATAGCACTTTCTGTTTTTTGTACAAAAATTTTACAGGAATCTTTACAAAACGTAGTAAAATCAATATTAGTTTTTTATAAACAAGAACAGCAAGTAAGTGTATATCTTTAATTTATAATTTAATTAAATAAATCTATATTTGCAATATTATTTTATTTTTCAGGCTTTTGCAGCTCCAGAAAGAGAAAATATGCTCAAATTTATAGAATGTTTAAGTGAACAATTAATTCCTTATGTACAGTATTGTATTCATGCTATTTTTCCTCCAAACCAAAGTGCAATTCATTTAGGAATTTCAGAAAATTTATTACAAACAGAGGTATAAAATTTTATAACATAAAATTATATTATAAAATTATATATATATTATTATAATATAATAAAATTATATTACAACATAAAAGTATATTAATAATATGCAGATATGAAAAAAAATAAATATATTTTTTTTGCAGGGAATAACATATTTAAGCAGAAATATTATTCTGGAACCTTTGGCTCCTTTATTGCCAATTCAGAAAAATTTACCAATCTCTAATGTACAATCATTAATGTTACATAAAACTTCTGAAATATCGTCATTTGAAAATACAGAGATAGATACAACTTCTTCGCAATTAAAAAAATTGAAAATGTCAGAATCACTCTTAGTTACAGAACAAGAAACTGATTTACAAGAAGAAAAAAAACTTTTATTAACTGAAGATAATAAAATTCTTGCAAATAATTCAAATGCTGATGGTGAAAATCAAAATAGGTAATTGTTAATTTTTGTTCCTTTATATGTTATTATATACAAAAATCTTGTAAATAAAAACATAATTTTTTAAATGAATTATATATACATAATACTTATTTCCTTATAAATATAAATTGTTAATAGTAGTTAATATTATTAAATAAATATTTTCTTTTTATTTAATTATATATTTAATAATAAAATAATATTTTAAAAATTATAATAATGAGAAATATAAAATTATTAAAATATATAAACCAAATTATTGAAATAAATTTATTTTATTATTTATATAAATTTATGCAAAAAACAATTATCATTTATTAATTATATTTTATTAATGTTAACAAAATATTTATTTGCTATATCTTAACTTTTGTATGTACATTGTCAATGTATAATTATATGTAATTGAATTATTTCAAAACATTTTTTTCATTTGTATCATTTTGAGTATTCATTTGTTATATATCTTAATTTTATTAATTATAATTAAAAAATAATATAATTCTTTTAAAAGATGATGCTATTGAATTTGAAAATTTATTTATAAAATTTTGAAATGTTCCATTACTTTTCATATATACTATTATTATACCATATTATACACAATAGATTTACTTTCAATATATTTTTATTTTCTATATCTTGAGAACATTAAGAATTATTTATTTTAATATTATTTTTTTTACATTACTAATTCAGAATAAAATTGCAATCGTTGAAATCAAAACTAAATTTTAAACTGAATAAGACAAGGAAAATAAATACTAAGAGAAAGATAGAGATAAAGTAAAAATTATGAAATCAGTGTCGCAAATGAAACTCATAAATAAAAGACAGCAAATAAAAAGAAAAGGATATAGAATAAGAATTATCCATTAGCGCCATCTCTTAGTGATGAAGACATAATAAAGTAGAATAAGAATTAAGAATTAGTGCTATCTCTTGAGTAGTTTCAGAAAAAATGTTTCTATAAACATTCAAGAGATGGCACCAATAGGCAATTCTTATTTTATCTCTATCTTTCTCTCATTATTTGCTATCCTTTATATATGAGTTTCTTTTGCGGCACTCTGGAGATGGCGCTGATTCCACAATTTTTACTTTATCTCTATCCTTTTCTCATTTATACTTATTTTGTAAAATTTATTCGCTTAAGAAACGGTTCCGATATATTTTATCATGTAATTTGATTATTTTTTATATTTGTTAACTATTATTTATATATCAAAAAGTATATAAATAAGTATATATAATTTCAAGCATTCATTCAAGGTTTAAGTACATTTATCTTTATATTGTGTGTGCTAATGTTGATTCTTCACGTGTTTCTGTTTTTCAGATTTTCGTGAAATTATATACATTTAAATATAATAACTTTGCAATTGTAATATTAATTATATTAATATTAATATAAAAACTATGGCAAAAAAGAAACATAGTAATCTAAGTATATGGAAACCATTAAAATTAGAAGGTTCTGTATTTTCGGGTAATGTTGAGGATTTAATTGGTATTGAGGAATTAACTGATTATAAATTGGAAAAAGAAAATAATAAAACAAAAATTGTAATTTACAATGACAAAAATGATAAGAAAGAACTTAAGGTAAAATAAGAAATATATTTTTCAATAATACTGAATTTTTAATCCATTTTAATTATTAATCGATGATAATTTTTATTATTATTGAAAATTTATTATTTAATAACTTATGATATATATATGATGTATATTTTATGAACATATATTTATTTGTAATAGAGTTCACGAAAGCATAAACATTCCAATAAATGGTTGGAAAATGACATAGATGTTACTGAACCATTATTGAAGAAAACTAAAAAAATGAAACTTAAAAAAAAAAAGATTAAAGAAAAAAATGATAAAGAAATAAGAAAAGAATTATCTCTAAGAAATGATTTAGATATTAATTCTAATAATGATAATCAGTTTTTTAATGAATGCAATGAGAATAAAAATGATGTATATGATATTGATACCCAACAATGGCAAATATTAGGTGTATCTACTCCTATAATAAAGGCATTAAAAGATCAACAATTTTATCAACCAACTCCTATACAAGCATTAACTTTGCCACCAGCAATATTAGGTCATAGAGATATATTAGGTGCTGCTGAAACAGGTAGTGGCAAAACATTAGCATTTGGAATCCCAATTATAAATGGTATTTTGGAATTAAAAAATAAGCAATCTGATCAGTTAAATGTAAAATCTGAAAAAGAAAAAAATAAAATTATTGAGAACAAAGGTTGGATATGCTCTGAAAATAAAACAATAGAAATTGATAATAGCTCATCTGAATCTGATTATGAAGAAAATATTGATTATAGTGTTAATGAAAACAATATAGGTTGTGTACGTGTAATTAATAATATAAAATTTAATGAAACAAATATAGAAAATTATATGGAAAAACCACTATATGCCTTAATATTGACTCCAACTCGTGAATTAGCTATTCAAATTAAAGATCATTTGACTAAAGCAGCAAAATATATAGATATTAAAGTAAGACTTGATAAATAATATTAAAAATTGTTTAAATATTAATTATTAAGTATTGATATTTCTATTTAGATAGCTGTAGTATTAGGAGGAATGGCAGCTGTTAAACAAGAAAGAATATTAAGTAAAGGTCCTGAAATTGTAATTGCAACACCTGGTAGATTATGGGAATTAATACAGTATGGTAATCCACATCTTTGTAAAGTAGATTCTGTTAAGTAAGTTTCATTAAATATTTTATTTAAATTAATGATCTATTTCAAATACATACAATATATGTCATTGAAATAATGTTATTCAACAGGTATTTGGTTATTGATGAAACAGATAGAATGTTAGAAAAAGGACATTTCCAAGAATTGCAACAGTTATTGGAAAAAATAAATACAAATGAAAAAAAATTGAGGGAAAGACAAACATTTGTATTTTCTGCTACGTTAACTATGGTACATGATATTCCAGAGTATTTACAAAAGAAAAAAAGAAAGCATATTAAAAGCAAGATAAAAAAACTTACACCTGGTCAAAAATTAGAAAAAATTATGGAATTAGTAGGAATAAAAAATCCAAAAATTATTGATGTTACAAAAAAATCAGGTTAATTTAAATTTTTTTATCATATAATTGAAAATAATGCATTTAATATAATATAATTAAAATTATTTTTTAGGTATTACCGCTAATTTAACGGAATGTAGAATAGCTTGTACAATGGATCATAAAGATTATTATCTTTATTATTTTTTGAAAAGATATACTGGTAGAACATTAGTGTTTTGTAACAGTATTGGTTGCGTAAAACGGTTAAGTACTCTTTTTGGAATTCTTGATTGTAAACCTTTACCGTTACATGCAAGTATGCAGCAAAGACAACGATTAAAAAACCTTGAAAGGTAAATATTATTTAATATATATAATTTTGAAATAATAAAAAAGAACAGATTTCAGACGGATGAAAATGGATTATTAATAGCTACTGATGTAGCTGCAAGAGGTTTGGATATTCCAAATATTGAACATGTGATACATTATCAAGTTCCCAGAACGAGTGAGGTATATATAAATGGATATAATAAAAATTTTAATTATGTGTAAATTGATTGAACATTTGTTATCAAATTAATACAATATTATTAAATATATTTGACAATTTAAATTTTATATTTATAATTATTATTTAGAGTTATGTACATAGAAGTGGCAGAACAGCAAGAGCAGAAAAAAATGGCATAACAGTACTTATGATGGAACCTTCTGAAAAACAATATTATAGTAAATTATGTAAAACACTTGGTCGCAGTAAGTAAAGAAATTAAGTTGTGACGTGATATTTTCATTTTTAATATCACATATTTTTAATAATACAATAATTTTAATTTTAGCGGAAGATTTACCGATGTTTCCTGTAGTAGATAAATTATTAGTTGCTGTAAAAGAGAGAGTTGATATTGCTCGAGAAATTGATAAATTGGAATTGAAGTGTCGTAGAGATAATTCACAAAAAGGTTGGTTACGTAAAGCAATTGAAGATATGGATTTGGTTTTAGAGGAGGATGAAGAGTAAGATTTCTCTTAATTTAAATTCAATAACAATATAATAATATTCGTTTTCTTTTGTGAAAATAATTTTATTTTACAGAGATTTAGAGTTAAGAATAAAAGAACAAGCAGATTTAAAACATCAATTAAAAATAAAAAAACGTCAATTAACATCACTTATGTCAAAATTACTATTTCCAAAAGGATTTTCTGGAAAATATCCTGATGTTAATATTGAACTTAAATTAAATGAAGATAATCAAAAAGCTATTGATGTAATGAAAAAAGTTATAGAAGAAATTCCAAAAAAAAAGAAAGAAAGAAATAAAAAATCTAATGCCTCTTTTAAAACAGCTTCTTATAAAATTAAAGCTTTAAAGAAAAAAAATAGAAAGAAAATGTAATATATATTTTCCAGTAAAATAAAAGGCAATAAGTATAAATAAATGTTTCATAAATTTTTTTTATAAATCTGTTTTATTTATATTATTATTATTTTATTATTATTTTATTCTTTGCATCTTGTTTTTCCTCTAATAAAATAAATTTTAAGAAAAATTTTTCAGATTTTTATTTGTATTATATTCGTTTTTCATTTTATTTTTTAAAAAAACATAAAACTTTTCATTTTTAGAACTTTATTCATTTTCATTATTATTGTTAGTATATATGGCAAAGATATGTACATGCAACTATTACAACTTTTAAAATATTACATATTATTTCATAGTGCTTTTTATATAATATAATACAGATTCAATTTCTAATTCTACGTTGATAAAAAACGATCAACGAGTTCTCGATCATCAAACACAGCCGGTTAACTTATAATAATAATAATTTTCCATTTTCAAAATATCGTATTGTAAATAACTTCATCTTCCGTGCTGATAATCGAATCAATTTGATCAGTCGTTACCATCGAGTTTGCATATCTATTATTGTCACTAATTTTGCTTGGCAAAGCTGTAGTCGAATCACGACCTTTTACAACGATTTTGATCCTAGCCATAACATGACTTCCGGGACATTTTTGGACTTGTGCAGCCGCGTTCTCACAAATCTCCGCATAAATGTCATCAGCTTTAGTCCTAGTTAACTTGGGAAGGGATGGCACTGGTGTAAGACTATCTCTAACACGAGAATAATTGGGTTGTAATTCAACATTAGCTGGCATTTCTAGAACACTGGTGGATGCCGATCTTTGTACAGGTTGTTTAGAAGAATTCGAATGATTCGGATGAGAGGTAGTTTCTGGCTCTAAACTGGAGTAACGCTCTTGACATCTCATTGCAATTTCCGGTTTCACTGCAAACGTGAACGAAGCTGATTTTTTCGCTGGGTTCCTGCTACGATTGCCTTGAGCGAATTTCGAAATTCGATCTAGAAATCCGTTTCGACAATTCTGTCTGGTTTGACTCTTTTCTCGAACGGTGCTTTTCTTCAATTGTTCCAATCCATCTTTCAAACTTTGCAATATTGGCTTCGTTTCCGGTTTCGGTTTGATTTTTTTTAAATGCATCTCCTTAAGATTTTCACCGACTGGATGCAGTTTCAAAGGTGCCACTCTTGGTTCCGTTGCACGATCTCCGACAGCCCGGCTGAAGTGGAAGAACAGGTTAAGCCACATAGAATATATATTTACAAATGTTTTATATCCTTTGAATAACATGGTAATACGAAATATAGTACGATATATTATTTTCTATCAGTGATTGCATATATTTTTATCCCATCGTGTATGTACGCATGAAAGCGATTTATCGATGAATCGATTATTTTCTAGAAATGGAATATTATTTTATAATTAATTTACCTGCAGGCAGATAATAATCGTTGCATTTTCGGTGATGCCAGAAGTCTAGCTTCTGATGGATAACCTAATCGTGCTCTTCTCACTCTTGGTGCACCATTTCCGGTCACAACCAACTCAAGCATTTCAGGATTGTGAACAGGTCTTTCCGGTACAATGCATCCTAAAACAATTGGACCTCGAGTTGAACTTTCCAGTTGCATTAAGCCGCCATATTCCCTTGGCAATGGTACAGGTAATGGACCGGCTATTAAGCGAACCTGAAAATAATAATAATAATTTTATTTTTTACAATATTATCGATACAACTGTATAATACTAAATTTTTATCTCTTCTGATAATTTAATCGATAAATGAACAATAATAATGAAATTAAATGTGTATAACAAAATATAACAAATCATATGATATAATATAATATAAAATAACAGATCATATGATTTTTTTGATTTTTAAAAAAAATTGTATTAGAATAAGAAAGAAAATATTAGGGAAATTAAAAAAAATAAAATATATCTACCCTGAGAGGCAACGGTCTTTTAGCAAGATGATGTACTTTGTACAGTACTGCATCGCTTCCGGTATCGATACTTCCATTCTGGCAAATAGCATAGAATTCCCCTCTTGCCGACAAAGAAGCGAATACCTCACGACCATGTGGATCCAAACATTGTGCGTACTGATCCTTTTCGGAAGAGCTGCCAGAAATTCCGAAGGAAACCGTACTACACTTTCGCGTGTCTTGGAAAACCGCTATTAATCGTAGAATCTCTCCAGCTCTGATCGTGGTCTTTGTATAATGAGCTCGTAGATTGCCATTTTCTGTAAATTAATGAAGATCTTTTGATTAAAAAAGAATTAAATATTGAACAACGTGTGAATTTAACTAATGTCTCTTTGAAAGAAGATAGAGTTAGGTTCAATGTACATATTTTTGGTCAACGAAACAGTTCCAATTGCGGTTAAATTATTTGCGGTCGCAGGTGGAATTCTTGCCATTTGCGGTTTGCGAATTGCGGTCGTAAAGCTTTTCCACACATTTTGTTTTGATTTAAAACTAGGAGAGAAAAGTATAATATTAGATTCAGAAAGGAAGATTACAAAGATGTCGTGTAATTTTATAGTAATAACAATTTCTAGTTGAAAAATTAATATCAGTATTTGAAATTACAGAAACAAATTAAGATTCTTTATTATATATTTTTTGATACAAATCTACTACATATAGATTTCTAAGAAAGTGAAAAAGAATATTATATTTAAACTTACAAATTCAATATAAATATTTCTCTATTAAATTGTCAAAGAAAAAAATAAGTTGAGTATTTAAATTTTTTTATTATTCTTTATATACAAATTCCACCAAATTTTCTATTCTTTTCTATTACTTAGAATAGTTAATCTCATGCAATGTCATTTCCTCTGTGACTGCAAGTAGAATGGTACTGCCTGAGGCAGACATTCAACGCTGTGTAATAAGCTACCAAGATATTACTAAGTATCTAGTTATTTAAAAAAATATATTTTCAATCCGCTCATTATTCCCTTGTAGATGATATAATTTCTTATTTTATACAAGATACGTGGTATTTCACTTTTTAAAATGGAAATATCGACAATTTCAAGCGTAAAACAGAAACTGAAACTTGAATACCCTTCTGTTATGCCTCTTATATCATTGCTTTGTGTGTTTCCGCCGCTATATACTCCATTTACCGCATTTAACTTTCTGCTACCGCTTGGAACGTATAATTTGCGCATTCCCCATATTTCTCTTTTTACCATGTCAGGATATGAACGCTGATATTTATATGCATTTAGGTCAAGAACGTTGCTGCTTGACATTACAACCGATATTACATTCACGTGTGTCATTATTTCTCTCTCCTTTGCTCCTTTTTCCGCCTCTTGCTTTTTTTGCCTTCTCCAGCAATTTTTTTTTTATGGTGTTTTGATTCTTTTCTCATGCTTAACTTGTTCTTCGCTTCATAGTGATTATCTGTTATTTTTTCCTTCTTTTCATTTTGAATCTTCTCTTGTTTTGTTTTAAACACTTTCTTAGTTCTTTTTATCTTTACCTTCTCTTTCATATTTCACATTATTTATTTCTATTACCTTTGACTATCTTAGTTTGATTTTTTTGAATACTTTTTTTCTTATCTAAATACTCTTTTACTATATTTATAAATATTTTAATCAATTTCACTTTTATCGTGAAATATAAGAATCTATTTGATTAAATAATATGTAATCAAAGTAATATATATTCAAAGTACTTAAAAAAAAAAAAAAAAACATTAGTGAACTTGAAGAAATTATACAATGGTTGTCATAAATATCAAATTTAAAGTAATAATCATTTTACATAAAAAATTTAAACGCGATATAAATCTTTTAGTCGAATTTCACCAAATGATCGAATACTTACACATATACGAGTGCATTTCTTTTCTCACTTTCGATCTCAATTCAATTTTCTCGTTCTGTATTCTCGTCTCGTGCTCTTAATTAAATCCTCGAAGAGACGCTAATCAACGGTAGAAACGCGACGATGCAAGAAGTTAATTTACGAATCGTATAATTAACGAGCTGCCGTGAAGAATTGTGCATGTGTGTACGCGTGATGCAGCGAAGAATTCCAATCTTAATATGTGTATACGTCTTTAATTTTCGTGGCATTCTCACTTACCCATTTTCGAGTGGGTCAAGATGTATGCCCTTAAAGGTGCGGCTAAAAGAAACGCTGGTACCCCTGCTCGTACCAAGGAATCCACTCTTCTGTACACCCTTGCACTGCCCATTGTATTGTTCCCAGATATCACAGAAAACCATCCTGAAATAAAATGAAAATGAAAATTAATTTTTTATTTATATATATTTTAATGCAATTAATTATATGATAATTTAATAATAAATTTCAATTTAATTATAATATAGTTTAATTTCTAAATATTAATATTTAGTTTTATTTGAGATTCTATTGGAAAATTGTATTGTAAATAATTCAATATTGATTTAATAAAAATTGCATTTATTGCAATCCTTAAATGACAATTATATATTCTTCCAATTGAATAATAAATCATCAATTTGTTACCTTTCAGTAAATCTATAAATTATTTTTTTGAATTATACTCCTTTGAACAAAGAAAAAAACATGAAACTTAGAAAGAAAATTACAAGAGAAATATCGTAAGACTCTATATGATTTCCTATGATAATATTTCAGGGGACAGGTTTGTGTAGAAACATTAGGTGCATAGAAATAATACTTTCTACGATTGAATGCAAATTTTACTACTCAATTGCTTTGAGAGTAATGATATTCAGACATGGGAACGACTATTGATGATTGTTCATAATGTGCCAATGTAATTTATTAACAAGGGGACTGACATTTACGTTTCATTATTCTTATTCATACATTTTCATCATATTAAAATTAGCAATTAATTTTTTTTTATGATTTTTATCATATTTACAAAGACAGCATCAAATTAAAAAAAAATTCCTATTTGAATTTTATTTTGATATTTAGTTCATTATTGTAAATGATGAATCATTAGCATGAAAAATGTTTCCAAGTTGAGTGCCAGAATTTTTTTTCCTGTGAAAAGTTTGATGAATATATCGTGCGTCAGGCTACATAATGAATAATGGATGATGCAGCGAGTAGCTGAATAATGTCAGTAATAAAATAGTAAACTAAATTGGTTTTTGCAAAGTGAAGAAATAATCTGACCCTGCAACGCATGATTTACATCAAATTATTGAGTCAAGTAGCTGCAAATTGCATACGAATAGGCGACCGGATATGGATATAAACGGGGGTCGTTTATGAAAATAACAAAACAAAACTTTAACTACAATGAAATTATAATTTTTATATAGAATGTTTCTCTTTATTTTGTCGTTTGATTATAATTAATAGAAAATAGACAATTTGCATTATATGGTTATTATTTGATTTACTTAAAGAAAAAGAAACAATAATTGTATTTGACTTAACTTTTAAAGACTTTTAAAGACTTAACTTTATATTAAATCAATTGCATGAAAATTACCTTTATATAGTATAAATTAATAAAATAAAATTTATAATTTTTCATAATATCTTATTACTTTTTCCTTATTAAGTGGTACTATCTGAAAAGAATAGAAAGTATATATCATATTATATTTAATTACAATTCTTTCATTTTATGTAATCAAAAAGATTTTTAAATCTTTATCATTGAATAATTGTTTAATATCATCCATTTAATGGAATTGGAATTCAAATCATAACAAGGTAATACACAACTCGAATAAATTTAATCTGCAATTTACACAGATCCAGTATTTTTTATCTACTTATTTGAATATATTACATACCGTCAAACACAACATAAGTGCATATCAAGTTTTCACGTTACATTTAATAATGTATTCAGCATACATTGATATATTCGCACAGTTGATCCAACCCATAAATTAGCTCGAGCATTTTCAGATATCGCTTTGGACAGATTTACGTTCAAGTTTGGCGCGCGTAAAAACGGTCGGCCGTATTAACAGTCGTTTCGTACGAGTACTCAATTATCCTGCTTCTTTACAAAGTCGTGCGTGGACAGTATAAGTTACGAGACACTAAACAAAATACTTTGCAGCTTACCGTTTCATGACGTTAACGGGCTTTGTTTCGCAGTATATTACGTGCAAGTAATTCGCGCGTTATATCGGTCGAACGAAAAGCTCTGCCATCCGCCATTCGCCGGGCGAGGCGCTGAATTATATTACACCCTCATGCGCATGCGTGCGCACGCGCATTTTCGTCCTCGGTTAGTAGCGATATGCATGTGCATAAGGGAAATCCTACTATCCTGTTAGGTTATGTCGTTGGTGTGCGATAGGTAACGAGAAACGTGAGAAGAAATATAACAAGACGCTTTTAAATTATAGTTAACCGCGCCAGTGAATGTGGTGTGTGGCCTGGTATCGTCCGCTAACCGATATGCGTTATGCATATAAAATTATCTCGCGTTATTACAGCCGCCACGAGTTACGTCGGAGATTCGAGTAATTACGATACAGTTTAAACGGACCTAAAATGTTACCAGAGAGACCTGGTCTTTTGATTTCTGCCGGCCTTCTACTAGGGGGGAAAGGCATCGATGCGTGTGCGCAAGCGAGCTTCTGCCGGGCAATTAGCGAATGCCATGCAATTTCCAATGGAACACGCCGGAAACCGTTCGGTTTTCTTCTGGCTATAATTGGTCGCGTTCTTTGGACTACGCTTGCGAGAGCCGCCGGTCTTCGGAATGTGACAGGTTATTGCATTTCTCTTTGATTTATTTTTGGAGACAATAGCTTCTTTTCCTATTATTTTTGTTCATTTTCCTTTCTTTTTTTTTTTGATTATATTTCGGCTTTTTTAGGAAATTAACATCGCATGAATTATTAGAATGAATAATTAAAATTGAAATAATAATCATTACATTGGAGTCATCTATAAATTTTTTGTTTGTAAATTCGTATTAATTATTGAAAAATTATACTACCCAATTTGTAGACAGTTCTGAGAAATACTTGTTTAATGATCTAAGATAAATATTTTTCTCTATCCGTTCGAAACGCAGATCATCAAAATAATTTCAGTTTGCGTGTTTCTTAGCTGCGTTTTTTTCTCTTGTTCACCAAGAACTGTGGCTGGATCACGACCGTTCGTTCACGATAGCCCTTTTGCCTGATCCTCATCACCGTTCGTTTTATTTTTCCGTTTCGATTTGTCCCCTTTGCTGATCTAGGAATCGACCGCAACGATCCGACGAAGAAACGAAATATCGTCCCTTCCTGGTATTGCCGCGGTCCGAGGCATTATCCGTGTTTTGCCTCGTTTTCTCCACGCTGGCGCAAGATCGAAGTTGCCGTTATGTCATTCGTAACGGGCTTCCATGCTACGTCTTCAGGAACTAGTGCGCCTGCGACGTTTCCAACGTTCGAATACCGGTGGGCGTTTAGAATTTACGCATGATTTACCGGTAAATGGCAATTTTACGCTTTCCGCCTTTTTGTATTTTCTATTTTGTTTTGTGGATCGTAAGTAACGCATATAATGTATCGTTCTGTTCTCCTTGCTAATTTACGAACCTCCAAGTAACGTATATTGCAAACGCTTCAATGTTGAAGAAACTCGTGCGCCAATCGATGCGTAATATAAAATTACGACGCTCTAAATTTTAACGAGAATTCCGTGTTATTCGTTTCGAGTCAAATTGATATTTTTCGATTGGTATAGCCTTACATTGTACACCAGTAATTCTCAATCTTCTTCGAATCGTAAAATTCCTTTTATAATGATCAAATAACCTATAAATTTTTTCTTTACATTTTTATAAAGAATGATGTATAAGTACAATTTTTTGGACGATTCAGAGGTTAAGTCGCACTGTGCATTACTCTAAAATACCACGTGTATTTTCGATTGTATATTACATTCTTAAAAATCTTTCCCTATAACAAATCGTAATAATGTCATTGAAAGATCTCAACATAACCTTATCCAGAACTATCTCGAAACGTACATAGGTCACCGTCATTGGCGTCCCGTGGAGGCGGGGAAAAAGCTGGCTTAGAGACTTCAAATAAATCGGGGATTCGCGTTCCACCGTGTTCGCGGTTGGTGGTCTTCCGAAGAAGGACGAAGGATGTAGCCATTTAGTAGGAAGGAAATACACACCGACGTGTTTCGGTTCGTCCGCAAAAAGCGTTCCAAAGTTCGACAAAGATACCAGGCGCGCGCCCCGCGGCGGTAATAGCAGCGAGCCACGGCAACGGGGACACGGTAGCCGAGTGGTCGGCTGATCGAAGGTCGGCTGGTTCTTTTGGTCGTCGCTAATTGATTTAAGAATGCCGCCCCGATGCGAATGCACGCATGCTGCGCATCGAATCCGGCCTTTAAGGACCGTGTGCGCTTGCTAGTGAACACGAGCGCCTCCATGTCCATCGAATTGGAATGCTTCGATTATTCTAGACGATCCTAGTCTTGAAGAGACCTAAATTTTTAGATCGTATCTTTTCTTTTTTTCTTTTTTTCTATTTTAATTATTGTAAAGTTTGTTTTTCACATGGCTGTTCGAACATGGAATATACATTTGGACAATGATAATCTTTTAACAGATTAGCGAGTGAATGAGTGAAAGTTAGGTTAGGATGTACTAAGATTTGAAAATAGGTTTGAGAAAGTTTTTGCTTGGTTTTAATTGTAATTTGAAAAAGTTTTCTTCTGAAATAATAGAAGCAACATGTCAAATTATTATTACTTAGTAATAATATTTTTAATATTATTAGTTAATATTTACTTAGTTAATATTGTTACTTAGTAAAGTATTTCGCAAGAGAGTGTTTGAACGTTTGAAGTTTCTTTTACCTTTGAACAAAAGATATATTATTGAAATCAGTTTAGAAATTACGTTTAAATAAATTTCAATAGAAACCGTGATTGTGATTTCTCGTTCTCGGTTTGTACACGATAGACACAGGATATACAGGGTAGCACTCCGGAAAAGAAATGTTGCAAACGCGTATATCCCTCGTAATCAACAAAGAATTGCACAAACGGGCTTCCTCCACTTTCCATTTCCACGCCCGTATCCGACATAGTTAATGCGACTTGCATGTTCGCGTTTGCATTCAGATTACAATCGAATAGAAGATTGCCGTATCCGTTGGAAAAGTCTATTTGAAAAAGTAGCTTCTTGAAAAGAGGGATAAAACGAGTCGCAGAACCCGGTAGAAATTCCTTCCACTTCCTCGACTTCTTAATTAGAGTATACGCTATCATGAGATTACGCA